AAAGGAACCTATGAACGTCGTGAACGGAACACCCGGTTTGTTTGGCTGATGTTGCCAAACGTGCTCATATTGTACATATTGTAAAGGTCTTTTTATGTATTTTTATATTATTATTATTAAAACGGAACCTATGACGACGGCCCGGAACGACGGTGAACGTCGTGAGCGGAACACCCGGTCCGTTTGGCTGACGACCTCTCCCGTTGATCAGAAGCGTCGCTGGTTTCGAGTAACCTTGGTTGAACGTGGTCTCGGCTGTGTGCTGCCAGTGGGTCACCAGGATCACGTGTTTCGGGTCATCGATGTCGAAGTGCGAACGATGGGGCTCCCTGATGTCCGCCTGTTTCACGATCAGAGCACCAAAAATTCCGTTCGTAATGTCCGCACCTGAAAATTCCATCGATCGAATGACATTTTTGGAAATAATGTGGCGAATAAAATGAAGTAATCGGTTAACTGCAATTAACGTCATTGTGACTTGATAGTTACGAAATATATTCGTGTGATGAAATTATAGAAACTATTGAATACATTGTTAATTCATACGTGGATATTTATTAATTTTCTACTGCATAGATTTTGCTATATTCGTGAACAAAAATTCGGCCCATAGAGGGTTACTTTTGAGGAAACGTAGACATAGAATAGTCATGAAAATTCTCTCTTTTCCTAATGAATTATTAACGATACAGTAGTTGCATCGATCACAACTAGGAAACAAGTTGGACGAAAGGTTAACACATTGCGTACTGGCAACGAGAAATCTCGTTTTTACATAAAGACACTTATCTATGCAACTTTGCTAATTACCACAGCATTGAGAAAAATATAAAACTTAATTCGAATTGATTACCTACTTAAAATACATTACATAACGATATATCTGAGTTTCTGTATATACAGCAATATAAGTTGATCTCACTGAAAATTTCCATCCGAACGATTCAGTTCTCCGAAAAGTAGCAGCAATGTGTTAACCGCGTTAACCCCTTGCCGTACGACGAGTGAGACTCGTGAGGAAGATTTCTAGACTATTTTAACACTAGGTTTACGGAACGCGTCAAATTGACGCATATTGGATTTAGAAATATTATTTTGCAAACGTTTACCAAAACAATTACCTACTATCGAATCTCCAGTTTCCACAATCTAAATAAACAAGCATCAATTCTTTTAGGAATAATAGAAGTGTATAATAAATGCCCGTAAACCTAGTGTTAACAACGATCAATATTATTCATTGCCCACGGATCAAAGCACACTTTGACTGCCACGTAAACAATCATCAAAACTCCCATGTACTCGAAACAGTTTTCTCTATCAACCAGAAACTGAGAAATCAAGATTCTTCTTAATAACTGCTCCACTATCTTATATCTCATATATCCAACAGAATTGTTCGTTCGATACGTCACGAAAGAAATTAATGTCCACGTTTCTGTAAAAAATAATGTGACGTGGCAGTCAAAGTGTTAAAGTAGAACGGACAATTTCGCTGCTCTTCTAAATTTCAAAATTCTTCCAAATTGCAAAAGAAGATCTAAATAGTAAAATGTTACGCGAGCTTAGCGAAAGTAAAAAGCACGACAAGGGGTCGACCGCGTCGGCTTCTAAACTTCCGGTGCATAAATCGCGCTGCAAAGTCAGCTGCATTTCCAATTACCAGCGTGGGCGTGCCAAAGATGCGTTCCGGCGGCGGAAGCACGGAATTTATACTGGAAAGTAGTGTAGCTCGGTATCGGGCACTGCGTGATCAGCGGCGCGCCGTCCATGTACGGTGACTCAATCTGCGATTGACCGCGCCAATGCATGGCGGCTGCTTTACCCGGAAGCCGATTGATCACGTCCACAACCAAGATGTCGTTTTCGCAAACCTGAAAAGTGGTATGGTCCGCTGTCAGAGATTGCAATTAGCCGAGCGTATCTCGGTCATTATAGCAGCCAGTTTCGAGTATTCCCTCGGACCTCAGTGGTTAGATGCCGCTGATAAAGCGAAAGAGAAAGGTGGCGAAACGTTTTGTAAACAGATGGCCGCGTAATAAAGATTCTACCGTGCGACAAGCGGATTTACCTTCGTAATTACTTGGAATAACTTTCATTGTTCACTAGGAAAGTGTAATTAATTGAGACGCGGTGAGAGAAATTTCAGTCGGAGGACGGTTCAGTTGATTTTTTATTTTTGGAGTTTTGGAAGTTTTTATGGAGATGTTATTTTCAGTTGAAGGGAAAACTAGAGTTTATGTACTGAAATTAATGATCCAGAAATTTTGATGGAGTGAGTGATGTTCTTTTTAGATAAAGGGAAAGCAAGAGTTTATGTACTGGTGAAATTAATAATTTGAATGGAATGAATGATATTCTTTTTAGTTGTTAAAGGGAAAACAAGAGTTTATATACTTTTCTGGTGAAACGAATAATCCAAAAATTGTCAAGTATGTATTAAAAAATATTAATTCTCTCAATTTTTGTTTTCTGCACGTAACCGCATAGGTTTCTGAGCGACTCGTTTATAAATACACCGATAATCATTGTTACTACTAATAATAAATATCCGAATAAAATATATCGTTAATATGATACACTTATTGTACACGTTTTTGCCTGGAACTTCCACTAATTATCGATTACAGCGTCTTTTTGTTCGTAGTTCTATTTTCTCTATCGATGCTTCACGTTATTATTTTCGTTTTGTGACGAGGAATTCTCTTCTGTAGATAAACGAACAATAAATAAATAAGAGAAACTAGGTGAATCGATAGTTCATTCGTTTACTTCGTCAAACTATTAAACGACTAATTTAGAATTAAAATATTATTCTACTTTTCTGCTTCTTTAATTTATATTAAAGAAAATAAATAATACATATATTAAAACCATATACTATAGCAATTGATATATAAATAAATAAAGCAATATATACTTCTGAATTTGTAAGAAACATTCCATTTGACAAACCGTGGCAACACGATCATTAGAGCGTGTAATTTAATAGCATCACTAAAACAGAGACGTTAGCTATGAATAACTCTATCGAACAAAACCATAACACCGATGTTAAAATATTACATCAGTCACGGACCATTTGAATTAGTAACGGCGTTATATAAGTGGACGTAAAAGTGGAGAAGCGAGTTTCATGTCCATCAAGTAGAAAACATTTCACGATGAACATTTCGTAGAAACTCCTATGGAATTCGTCATCTGGAAAATTGCCTTTACCAAACAAGTAGGTCTAGATTTTTTTTATATCGCGCATAAATTTTTTCGTCAGGGTGCCCGAGCTTAGTGGACCACTCAATCAATGCGCGACCGCATGTTCCGATCAGAGATCGCTTTCTAACTCGGACTATACACTAGCATCACATAAAATTATTAATTCAGATAATATTGGTGAAACTTGAAATTCAGACGCATATCTAACACTAGAACTAGCAGACGGCGCAAAATGATCTGTTCCTGGTTTCTTTTGTTAAATGCGAAGTGCAAAGAAACGAATATCGTTTTAACCCTTTCAACAGAATTCAAGTATAAACATTACTCGATAGTTTTGAATTCGAAGAAAATATTATTCTTCTGTTATTTGTTATACTTCAGAATACAGATATAGAATGTGCCCAAAATTGTTTTTCCAATGAATCATTAATAACAAAGTACTTGCATCGATCAGGGTACTGAGATAAATCGTAGGACAAGGGGTTGATCTAGTAGAATTCAGTGAATTCACGTTCATTCTGAAAGTTAGATCGACTTTTCAAAGAAATCAAGTTAACCGTTACAACAGTTACAATTCTACATAATTCGTTTATTCTTTAATAATTCCCTAATATTTTTTAAATTGCCTTAAGCTTTAAAAGTTCAGTTCATATTCTCTTAGAAATGCAACAAGTCTGCCGTATTCAAAGGGTTGAACACCTTGTTCCTCACGTTTCCCTGAAAAATGGCGGACTACCGATACCAGGTCGACTACCGGTGCCTTTGCCGTACACGAAATCCCACAAATCATTTCGATAAATACTGGTTATCAACTGTAACTAATCGAAACTAGTTCGAACGCATTAAAAATTCTTAGCTCACCTGTATAGTTGGGCCAGGTAATTGCCGATTGGCCGTCAAAATGCCGCGTCGGTGTCCATCAGCCGATACGCAATGATTCGAGAGGCACGCGGTTTCATTCTTCGGGCAATCGCCACACGACCTACGCAAAGAGCAAGACATAATAAACTAAATAGATAACGACCTAAGCGTGAACGACGAAACGGTGGCCAGGCCGCTGGTTCTCCAGACTTCCGCGTTTCAACTGAGGAATTGCATAACGGTTATTGCAACAGTTGCAACACCACTTACGATTCCAAATAGAAACGAATGTGTGCTACGCGGATTTCATTGATCCGAAGCGTTTTTGCTTGTGACGTCTAAATCGCGGTGGATCGTTACTACAAAAGCTTCGACGGGTCGTCGATCAGATGGGAATCTTGATAATCTAGGTTGAACCGTGGAACTCAAGTGCACAGTAATGAATGAGAGGTAGGCTGCACAGGCTATTATTATTGATGGGATCCTTGGGTCAAGGTCTCGCCGACACTCATTTATAAACCTCTCAATTCTTAAATATATATGTAATATCAATCTTAATCGTACCACGTGTTTTTATAACGAATACCACGTGATCAGTCACTTATGAGAATAAAAGGGATTAAAATGTTATTGCGTTTGTTTATAGGGTCTCTCGACGCGACCAATGTTGCAATTAACTTGCAGGCGATTTTTATAAGTTTTTTGAAACTTTTCTTAAACCAGTTTGTTCGCAAACCAGTAATTCTCAACTTAAAAGGGTAGAGAGCACTAAGGTATCTTTTTAAAAAATCCCAAGCTCAATCTATAGGTCAGTCCTGTCCAAAAAAAAATTATTGTGTTTGTTTATAAGGCCCAAATCTTGAGAGCCTAAGAAAACTTTTGGAAATGTAATATGAAATAATAAAGATTTAAGTCAAATGTTCAGGGTTAAATTAGGGTTAGAATGAATGGAAATTCTATTGAAGTATGAAATTAAACATGTTTCATTATTAAATATGATAATATTACTGAATATTATTAAATACTAATTCTAATTGTTCAGATTCTAAGTGTCAGTTCTTGACAATAGAGTATTTTTGTGAAAATTAAGTAATTTTAGATTCCTTCTGCTTCATTTTAATTGATCATTAGAATGCAGATGTACTAACAAATCCATAAGAGTAGATAGTAATTAATTAAAGAGATTCTGATGTTAAAATAAATAGAAAGTTTTGAATTTCCGTTAAAGGTTACGAGCGTAAAACAATAAACCTCGATGCAACGTTTACAGCGAGATGAGGAGACTTTCTAATGTCTAATTTTTAATGAAAATAGAAAAGAAGAACAGATGGACGACGTCTAATTAGAGTAATTAACCCTTTGCACTCGAGAGGCTCTCAGTCGCCAATGTTAAGTTCGACAAAATTGTTAAGTCTGATATTGAATACTAAATTTTGTATAATCTCGACGAGCCAGTTTCAGAAAATGCCATCCGCGTCTCATTAGAAAAGATGGAGTATTTCCAGTGAAAAAACGTCCGGAGTGAAAAGGGTTAATACAATAGAAAATATTATCTTACTTGCTGAGAGACTGGAAAACCTCAAGAGTGAGTTTCACTCGGCAAATCATCGGCCAATCCAAATGGTGGCATGGTCTTTCGCAGGAGAGGAATGTTTGCTCTGTAAAAGAAAATAGAATTGAGGTAAATAAAAGTGACGCGAACAAATATCGGAATATTGCAGAAAGATTGTTAGATCATTAATTTAATGTAACTAAGAATTAATTGTTTAGGAAAATACACTGTATAAGTACGACTTGGGTTGTCAGAATTCAATTCTTGATTTAAACGAACACGAGGATGAACAAATTGGAGGTATATTATACCTTGTTGCTCTGTAAACCTTAAATATAATCATCGTATTTAATCATTAACCATTCATCTAACATTAGACTTTATATACCGAATATTTCGATTAGTAATCTTATGATAACTATTACAATAAACAGAGTAACATAAAAGCCACAATAATTTGTTACCTAAATATTTTACAAACTATAACTATACATTAATATTTTAACCAAATTAAATACTCTTTACACTTCGACAATGTACTGTATCTAAGAAAGGGACAGATCAATTTTGTATAAATGGCGAAAAATTGATCTCAGAACTGTATAAAACGTCTATCTTAAGAAAAGATGCATCTGAGAAATCATTTCAAAGTTACCCAGCTTCGTTACAGATACTTCGCAAAACAACTGACCATTTGCATGGTCTCTTACATTGACACTTAACCCCTTGCCTTATAACGACGAGTGAGACTCGTGAGGATTTTAAATAGAACAAACATAAATATAATGTTTGTGGACTCAACATTATTCTTCTGTTATCAATAATTATAGTTTAGAGCGAACATAGGTATATATACCTAAAATCTGTCTTTCCAATAAATTAAGGACAAAGTGATAGTTTGATCAAATGAATCGGGCAAGGGGTTAACGAATGATTTCATGAACTCGCGACTGTCTACACTGTGCTCGTCGCACATCGTTCCGATTGGAATGATTTCGGATTCTGGTCCGAATCAAAAATAAAATTCTGAGAACAGCGGTCTGTGTGTTGGTTTGTAGTCGTTAATAGTCGCGTGGCGAGCACTTACTGGGCCTGTAATTATTAACGTGTAAAAAGGTTGCCGCAGCCGCGATCATAAAAACCACCACGAGAAACCGTAGGCCGTAGGTGGCGGACGTCATCGCGTAATTCGTACCCTTCGCAGACTGCATCGTCTAACCGGTTCGTTATGCAACGATAACAAAAGGTGACTGCATTCTCTTCTCGTTTCCCCAGAAAATCTCGAAAGCAACGTTTAGCTGCTCAGACTTCCGAGATATATATCGAGTTCTTCCTATTCCGTGAAAAGGCAGAATTATATGAGCCGCTCATTCTTTTTGACAGTGGTACAAGGTGGTTACCATTCCTCCGACGATTCGTACCACTCTCAAAAGGACTCATATATCAACCCTTTGCACTCGAGGGCTCCGTTGCAGAGGCATTTAAAGTTTGTCGTTAAATATATTATAACATTTGTATCTATAATCGATAGAAAACAGAAAGATACAGTGTGTTATTTATTTATATGTTAATACGCTTTTTCTATTAACATTACTTCGAGTTGCTGGTAATGTCAGTGAGAGAGCTTCGAGTGCAAAGAGTTAAAGGTGACAGGGTAAGAATATACAAGTGATTGTCAGTTGGTGAAACTGAATCAATGTTTATCGAGATTGTTTCGATAAATGATTAATACTATTGATCGTGTACCCATGTTTGTACTGTATGTTATTCTATACAAGTTTTGTAACTTGTAGTAATATTGGTTCGTTAATGTAACGCTGGAAAGAAGAGTTTTAACGTGAATGAAGAGATATGAGAAATGATGGTTTAGAAGAGACTTTGTTAACGGTATAGCTTCCGAGGAATTAAATTAACTTTTTGAAATTTCCCTATGGAAACTCTAAGGTGCATTTATTGAGATTTTAATTGATTTAGAATTCGTATTGCTAAATCAGATTCTTTAATCATTTCTTCAAGAAATTAGCTTTTTAATCATTGCGAAGAGAAATCAGGAATGGGCCATTTTTACCTATGACCACTACCAAGCAATTAAATTAACTTTTTGAAATTTCTCTATGGAAACTCCAGAAATGTATTTATTGAACCTTTAATTAATTTACAATTCGCACTGCTACATCAAATTCTCTAATAGTTTTAGCGTTAATACGTGCGTAAGAAAGTTACGAGTTCAAAGTGACTTAACCCAGTCGTTTATTTAACTATTAGACGTTCCATCGGTCTCGAGTTATACGAGAAAACTGACGATAGAGACGGCAAGACGCGTAAAACGTGACACGTGTCAGACGAATAAGTTTTATCCGTCCGGTTGGGAATGTCGATGAATCACCGAGGAACGTCGGCATTTTTCCGTGAGCGTGGTGAAAGTTAGTCCCGAAAAAAGCGAAAGGAATCGCTCCAGTGAAGATGAAAGCCGCAACTGTTTAACTTCGATCACCTCGTTCCCATGGAAGGGCGTGGACGTATCGACGCGTACACCCGTTATTTGCGTTTTACGCGATGCTCGCTAAACAAGCGTTTCGAAACCATCCACTTACTCGCTGGTACTCAAACACAGATTCGTGGAATGAGAGAATGCAACACTTACGACGTGACGTAACTTTGCGTCGCGAAGACGAGGTTGTTGACATTAAATGGTAAACATTCTGTCGAACATGGAAAGACACATGAACGAATTGGATATCAAGGAGCGATTAATAGAAATATTATTAACCGCTTTATAAACGTTGCTCGAAGTACCGTGTTCAATAAGGAAACTCTTATTAAAATTATTTGACCTCAATGATTATAAATTTCGAAACTCAACTCTTTCAAATTATTGTTATGACTACAAGATCCTACTATATTTCCATTTTTCATTGAAGAATCTTTTTATTAATAAATTATCATTGAAGATTGAATCAAACGCGTTCTACTATATAAACGAAGACACAAATTATTCGAATTTAATTCTATAGTTTATTTATTAACACATTGCGTACCGAGAAATCTCGTTTTTATAAAGACACTTAGCAATGCTTCGCTAATTACCACATTGAAAAAATATATAATTTGATTCGAATCGATTATCCATTTAAAATATATTACAGAACAATATATCCGAGTTTTTCGAAAATTGCCATCCGCGCAATTCAGTTTTGTGAAAATCAGCCGGTACGCAATGTTAATTAGCTGTGCCATTCAGAAATTCGCTAAGTTCAACTAAAACATCGTTTTTTGGGAATACTCGTGTCACATCGTTGCCGACAGACGTGTTAATGCGTGAATGATCTCTGTAGAATGATGATGACATGTTTCGGTCGAGGAAAGAATCTTCCAAGGAACTGGCACTCTTTTCTAAGCCATCGATCACGTAAGCCTCATCAATATTCCTCTAAGCTCTTTCAGGAAATGTCGCGAGAAAAGAAGAATGTTAAATAACGTGAAATGACTTTCAGAGAAGCATGAAGGCCGCGCGATCCCGTTCCTCTTCATCTTAAAACTGTGTCATTACGGTTACGTAAAATCTTGCGCAGCCTTCGCGTAATGCACCCTAGTAGCGTGATGCCTTCGCGTGGATGATTACGCTTGGCGCCGGAGTCACGAAATCCTCGTAATAATCCTAATTACCGATTAGTCCACGTGTTCGCGATCGAAACGGGAACCATCGCGCGCGTGCATAGAATAGACGAATCTGCGCGAAACTGATATAATTAGAGGGAATTATAGAAATACAGGTAAATTAGAAATGAATTTAAGAAGTACACTTAACCCTCGATTTACACGGTAGATCGGTTCCCCGAAAATGCCGCGGAAATTAACCCTTTGCGGACGAATGTCGGCATTTTGCTGAGATCAAACTTCCATGTTTGGAATACCCAGTTATGAACAAATGATTTAACTATTCGAACAGCAAGAGATCGGTACACAGTTTCCCTATTCTCTATGATTTAAGCGTTCAGTGTTTAGTTTAGCAGAATTTGCAAAAGGTTTTGATCACGTTCCGCGTGCATATGCAGTTAAGGTTAAAAGATAATTTATTTGGAATTTAGTTTAGAATTTATAATATGTATTTTAGTTGTAGAATATTCGAGAATTATATTTTACACGTTGATCGACATGCCACCCAAATTTTGCTATTTTGTTTTATATGAGATATTTTATTATTGTTTTATGTAAAAAAAAGTACTAAAAATGTAATTAAAATTGAGTTGTCAAACTTAATGAATGAATACTGGAAATAATTTTGAAAATAGCGAAGAAACTTTGCCTTTACCTTATATAGGGCGAGATATCGATTAAAAACTCAGCTTTGAGGAACCCTGAACTAGTATTGAATAAATGTTAAAGATTTACTGGATAACAGCCACTTTCCCTTTCAATATATATTTGACTATATTACAACTGCAGCTGCTGGATATCCTATTTTCTCCGAGTAACTATTACTTCAACAGCTTTCTACATTCATTCTTCTGACAAACTACACGTGTACTTCTGTTTTCCTTTCCACGTTCGAACCATTTTATTTGACTCCGCGTCGATAGGAAAATTGTTGTAGTCTGACGGGAAATTTGATGAGTGCCAATCGATCAATCAACGTGTTAAGAAAGAGGAAAAAGATACCGCATCAGCAAGGTATTTGAGAAATTGATCGCTGTTGCGGAACATTTTAACATAATTGGAGTATAACTAATAGGCAGAAAAGTGTTACGAAGTTCTTTAGAATATACTTTTCCAATTGATGATACGTTTAATCGAATACTTGTAGTCAAACATTTTTAATCGGAACATATAATTTAATCTAAATATTTGTAATCGAATATTCTTAATCAAATATTTTCAATACAATTTTTTTCTTGAATCCACTGACTCTCGAACACATTATTTATAAATCATTTGTGACCAAATATTTTCAATACAATTATTTTCATGAATCCACTGACTCTCGAACACGATGCAAACATTATTTATAAATACTACAAGCATTATAAGCCGCGCGACGAAGCATTCCTTAATCATAAATTCATATTCATGCACGCACTGGACTTTCAAACCCGCTTTCCTCGCAAGCCATCGCAACGAAAGATCATACCGTACATTTTGCGCATTTCTCCATAAAAAGAATCATCTCGTTCCCAATTGTACATATTATTCAACTCTATCTAACCAACAAAATCAAATAAAATATTTCTAATGATTCACATTGGAAACAAATTTTCTATTTAACCACAACCAACATAACTTTCCCTTAGAACCTTCTAGAAACTCGCATTAAGAAAACATCCCTCAATATTACAAATTTCTGAAACATTAAAATAAATTCTACAATAAGTAATCCATTGTTCAACAAATTCGTTTAGTATATAATCAAAGATCCAAAAAAATATATTCATAATAAATTAATATATTTCTCATTGATTCTCAAGATTCACTGAAAGAAGAGAGAGAGCACTCAAAAAGAATTCAAACGGAAAGTGACCTATTAATAACCGTGAGATGGTAACTGTAAAATACGCTGATCAAAGTCGAAATGAATTAGGGACGCCATATTATACTGCGTCACGACTGCCCCAACCTGAACCCGGCACACGAAACTTGCAAACACTTGCGCTTTCTCATGAAGAACTGAGCCAGGTAACACGAGCCCGAAATTCGTTGCCAGAACCGAAGGTGTCCTCTCCCGCTTTCCCTTTCTCCCTCTCGTTCTTTTCCCGCGTCATATGCGCGGCCGGGTAATTCTCCGGAATCGGTCATCCGCGGTCAATCCGACATTTTTCTTTCTCTTTTCTTTTTCTCTCGCCGCAGAAAATCCGGTCACGAAAGGAAATGAGTTCTCCAGTTTCTTTCGCCGCCCTCCGGCGAACGCTTGCAATTTCCCGAGGTAAGGTTGATTAATTAGCATCGTTCCTGTGATCTAAACGTGTTTTGTAATAATCACTCACACTCGCCTGAGTACCTCTTGGTTTATTGCGTATTACAGAAATTGAAAGTCAGCTGAGATTTTTAGTGTTGCGACATCGAGTATCAACCCCTTTATGTGCGAGAGACTTGCAATCGTCCGCTCGACGAAGCGAAATTACATGGTTCGGCAGTCGATATTTAATGTTGCGTAATGTATTTAATGAATTATTTCCGTCCCTTGATTGTCGTGTGATTTCTGTTCGTGTTGGTTGTACGGCATGCGACAGTTTGATTTTGTTTGTTACGTTTGTGGAACAATTGCTGGAATTAGAGTGGACGCTTCTTCTTGAGGATAGTAACCGTGTGTTTTAGAAATGAATTTTTTAATTACGATGGTGACACTCCGAAACACTGAATATTGAAATTGTTAGAATTTATATTTGGAGAGTAATAGATGATAATTTATTATTGTCTAAACGAGGATACACGTTAGTGGCTCTTCAGATATTCGTCATAATTGAGAATTGTAAGCTTTTGTTGTTGGATAATTTTCGAAACTGCTGTTTAGAATAATTGAGAACAGTTTGATGTAATTAATGAATGAATTTAAAGAATGATCGTAGGTAATGATTGTTATTAAATATCGTAAGGATTGGAACTTGGAAATAGACGTTGACTGTATAATTTCGCGATAGGTCAATTGCTATGGGCGATTAACGAGCGAATCACGCAAAGTTTCATTAATAATATAGTTCTATCAATATAAATATGTTTGAAAACATCATACAACGGATGTTCATATTTTAAGCATTAAAAACATTCCGAATGAATCGAATTTCCTTGAAAATTTTAGAACAGTTGGATAGCAAACTGAAGAAGCGATTTCTACGTGAGCCAACGTACTTCGAACTTCATCGCAAATGAAAGTCTGTGACAAACAGTTTTCTCTCTGAATCTCAAACAAATGCACTTTCCGCACGTCAAATAAGAAAACTCGAATTTAAAACTACAGCGAGGAGAAATTATGAGGAAAACTTGGGAAGCATTAGAAAGCGCGAACGATATCATCTAATAAGGGGACAAGAATAAGATAACATTAAATGGACCGCAGGAGAAACTCATCGATCGAACGGCGCATTAAACGAAAATACATCCTCGACCAATTAATTACTCGAACTTACTCTCTCCTTTCAGTATCAAAAACGGTACCAATGTCAAAATAAGTTGAAAGTCAAGAAAGCGGAATAAAAAATATCGAAATTGCCTCAAGTCGTTAAAACTACCATTCTACAATGTTAGGGTCACAAGACGATCGAATTCATCAGATAGCTCTGTTTGTATAAATAAAAACGTAACGTCCAATTTCCGTAGCCATCGGCTATTGTATAAGCCATAAATACTTGAATAAATATACAAGAGATCGCCAGATCAAATCAATTTCCTTTCGCTGACGATTGAAATCGCCGGAAGGCAAAACGATGAAGTTCTCTACATGAATGAAAAGTATACATTAAATAATGTTATCCGACACTGCAGTATCCTGCCGCTGTCATCGCATTTTTCGCTTGATTGTATAGAACTCTATCCGTCTAGTCCGCATATTTCAGTCTAATCGCAAAGCGAAGCTATTCGCGACAAAACGCAGCGACGATTGTTTCAGAATAACGAGCGAGACTCTATCTCTTAATGAAAGAAGAGAAGTCATTTACTTCTCCACTCGTCCGAAACAATCTCACCAGCGACATCCCCCGCAAACAACCCCTATACTTCAGCCACGAGAATCAACTGAACCAATACAAATCTAATTTCAAAGAAAAACGTTGAATCTTTCTTCGATCCCTATCAAGACGATATTTCCCAACGGCGTTCCGAAGAAACCGAAAATCCCATACGACGTACGCACAACCCTGCACATTTCATAGGCGCGAAACACCACCGACGTAAGGAGCCGTCCCATCGAGCCCGCGTCGCGGCGACAGCGACGAAACGAGAGGATCGCGCCGGAGGAGAATGAAACGGAAGAGCGAGCGAAATGGGCCGGAACGGCGGTAGAAGGGAAACGAGCTTGTAATTTCACTGCACCGTGTGTAAACTGCACGTGTGTACCCGAAACGATCCGAGCCAGGGTACTGTAGCGGTTTCCGTCAACGACTGACTGATTTTGGCCTAAATTTCGTTTGCCAAAACTAGCGGCGACCTTTCTCCCTCTGTTTCCGACCCTCCCCGCGATTCTCCCTCTTCGTCGTGCGCCGTGTGTGCCGGTGATCTTCCGCGTTTTAGCGCGCTCCACCGGAACAAGGTCCGCCATCGGCAACCGGTTCCGATGACAATCGAGCCGGCGGACCCCTGTTCGCGCGGGCGCAGATAGAACGCCGTTCGAAATATATGTCAGACGCGGCCGGAACGACCGAGTGAAAGTTTGCCTAGAGGGCAAAGTAAGCAGCTCCACACCCGTGTATGTCTTAAACTCAAGCTTCGTTACGTCTAGCAAGAAACTGCACGCACACTTTCATCTCTCGACATTTCTGTGCGCCACCTCCCGCTTTCTCCCCTCCAAAACGCTGCTCAGCCCCAATCACTTACAATCTCTCTCTCTCTCTCTCTGTCTTTGTGTATATATATATATATATATAATACCTCCTCCCCCTTTCACTGGTTCAACCTGCCTCCGCTTTTCTCTGGCTGCACATTATACCCAACCTCTATCGATGATCCCGCGGTCCGGAGGATTTCACTTTCGCTGAAGTTCAGCGCCGCGCTATTGATCGTACGCGACTGGAGAACGGGTGCCGTTCTCGCTTGATCAAACGGAGATACTTTCTACTGGACCCTGGGAGTCTTCTTGTTAATTCGATACTAATTCATGCCGATGACTTTATCGAGACCGCGATACGGCGCGGCGTTTTTAGCGATAACGCACGAGATCGCGACTTTCTACCGATTAACCGGTCCCGGGGTAATTATAGTTTATGCTTGGAGTCTGACGTCAGCGATCGCAAGCTCCCTTTGATGGACTGATGGTTGAGCATTTTAATTATGCGCGATGTTGGGTAGTAGTTGAACGTATCGGGAATTTTTCTTTTGTGTTTGGTCGAAGGGTTCGAAGATTGGGACTGTTCGGAACTGGTTCCGAGTGAAACAGCTGTGATTCTTTGTTATTTCTCGGCTCTAAGGAGTTGCGGAAATAGAGTAAGATCCTCCGTTTCCTTCGATCTTTAACGAGATTTCGTTTTTAAACGGTAGAAAGGTGGTCGATGACGGGACAACTTCGCATTGTCTGCGCTTATTGAATTCCGGCTCGGTGTTTCGCGTTTTTCTTTATTCAGAACAAAAGGCGAAGATATTTGAATGTGTCCGTGTCGAATATGCAGTCACTTTCACTTCCGTTTGAAGGGGTGGTTCCAGTTTTTCGTCTTCCACGGTTTTTCACGTGAATAATCTTCAACTTCAATGATTACCCGGCGTATCGTGAACATTATGTCTGTCTTAGTTCGCGTACGCGAAACCTGTCTGTGAAATTAATGTTCCCGTAGCGCTGTAACAGTGACTACATAGAAAAGTAACTGCCGCGATGTTAATGAAGCCAGTAACGGGAGTTCGTTTTATTGTCAATGATTAATAATACATAATCTGCAATGCAGACCATTCGAAGGTCGCGCATATTTAACGTTGCCACTTTTTGTTTATATTCCTGAAACTCCATCAAGTTTGCGATATGTTTTTTAACGTTAATGGGTCATGCAACAACGAGAACACGTGTTCGATAGTTTAAAGAAATATTTCTTGTTTTAGTTTATTAAAAGGCCACTGATCTAGGATATAAAAATAGGATTATAAATTGTGTGTATGTTGATACTCGTTAAAACTCATCAAATTGTATTGTTAAAGTAATTACTGAATGTCATTGAATTTTTTCAAGAATTTCCGCTATCAAGAGAACGTGCTAAAATAATATCTATTGTTTTTCGTGGAATTTTGATATTATAAAATTACATAAGTGATTCTCTATTTTTTAACCGCCTTTAGTGGACTTATTAAAATCCTCTCTGTTTTCTCCTTGCCCCGTATTTCAGCGAGAAATGAAGTTCTTGCTCTTTCCTTTACTACCTCCATGTACCTCAGGCGTTTTTATGAGTTCCGATACCTCTCCATTAAAAATTATTTCATTAGACGGTAAAAACGGTTATGGTTTATTTTCTCATTAAATCGGCTTTCTATAAAAAGAATCATTGTTAGCAAAAAGGGAAACTATTCGCGTGAAGAATCGAGTGACACGTGTTTATAGGCTTCGAATAGAAATTTCACACCTTATTCGATTGCAATTCGCGTGCTCCACAATGAAATGATAATGGCGACCAAACAATTAACGAGGAAAACAAAAAATATATTTCGGATAAGGATATTGTTAATTTATGACCGACAACAGATGTACCGTTCTAATTAACGAGACCTTTCCAAACCCGTCGCTCCACGATCGAATTTCATTGGTCATAAATCATTGTTCGCCACAGTGAAACAGCTGATGAAAACGGACTTTCTTCTTCGTCGAGTTACGCAATTACACGCGAATTACTTTCCCTTGGAACTGGTTTCGTTCGATCTCCAAATTACGATTGCCGAAAACAGCTTTCTTTGCAAAATCATTCCCCCAGTCCAAGAAAGCTAATTTCGCGGACCATTTTATAGACCATAGAACTCGTTACATAACCGCGCGATTAACTGTTCAGTTCGAAAGTCGTAAATAATTCTTCAAACTTCGAAGTTGCTGTACTAAACTGTCGTTACGCAAATGGTTTCCAAAAGAACTGTATTTTTATTTTTCATTCCTGCATATCTGTACCTTACTTTCCATCAATCTTCATATCAACGTTATCTCTCATTAATTTCCGCAATTAAGAGAGCGCACGATTCGAACCTCGAATACTGGGAGTACAAAAATAAAGCAAAAATAGCGCGAAGCTAGTTAAAATTCTTTGTTACATTTAGAATATTCATTTTCATTCTTGAAATATTCACGTACGTTATTTTCTATTGTCCAACGATTAAAAGAGTAATTGTAAGATCTGGAGACTATTGTTTTACCGGAAGAATTCGTGTGGAATGTTCGTGTATTTCGTAAATCGTGGAAAAGATCTGACTAAACAGCATGAACGGCACTGTTGCAGTTTCTTGACTTTCGACTCTCTTCGATTTATGGAAATGCTTAGCGCCGTTGAACGAAGGAGAAAGTGAAGCATAACAGAATTGTGATTTCACACGATCGACAGAATGAAATAAATGCGAAGAGCACGGGTGTAAAGGCTTGTAAATATCAGAAAATCAACCATCAAGTCGAAACCGACGTTGAATCTCAAATAAGCTGAAGTTAAAAGCGAAAGAAAGTGCAGATGTCTTCCTCCTGCGAGAAGATGACATGGTGTCACCACGCTTTCACGCTCAACTTTTGTTTAGAGTTAAGTATGTTAACGTGTTTGAATAGCGAGCTTGGCTTGCATGGTTTATTCTTCGGAGGAGCTGATAAATTGTTAATCATTTATAATGTTCGTCGGACTATGTTACACGAGAACGTGGAAAGTTAAATGTAAGTCAATGAAACGAAGGAAAATCATTTAATCAGCTTGTCCGAGGTACTAGATTTCTAGGATTTTTGTTTACAAATCAGTTTGAACAGTCACTTTTCAAACAGTAATTTTATTTATAAACATTTGAAAGTCATTAACATATGTATCTTTACTAAATTCTCTTTTTTTCGAACGTTCTTCTTAGTAATGTAGATTAAATCAAATCTCTTGTCAAATAGCAAGTGTCTCCATTAAACATTTAGAAACAATTAAAATACAATGATCTAAGAAACGTTTGTTTATAATTTTACATTGTAGTAATTATAATTTGCATGAAATTAGCAGTCCATAACAAGAGTGTATTGTTTAAACTGATATCTTCTGAGATGATTTACAAATTTTTGAAATGATACAAGGATTAAAACAATTCTTTTGCTTTCTGCTTTAGTAAAATGACCTATAAAAATAATGTTTTCTGATCATTAAGTTCTGTGAAGGATAGAATGAATGTAAGATAATTCTTCTTCAAACGATTATGAACATGACTACTCGCGCTGTTCATTATAAAGAATCCTGTCCAGAAGAGTTGCGCCTAATGCGCCCGTAGAACGGACTATAGTAAATCGCATCTCGAGTTTATAACGGTTGTTGCATCTTTAATAATGATATTGCAGTTTCTGGTTGAGTATCTCGAACTTAAGACGGGTATAAGGTGTGCAATCTTGATGTGAGGTCGTTAACCTACGATAGAATGCAGAATTTTTCTCCTAATACAGCCAACTATAGTGCACAAATTGATAAAGTCCATAAAAATAACTATAAACGAAAAGTTATTTACGCGAATTCAATATAAGGTAAATAGTACTTAATAAATTTTTCAAAGAACTTCAATTTAGACAAAGTTTAGCAACACGACAATATTATCCACTTGCTCGTACATTTGTATTTTCCTCGTTACATTATTCACATTTCACTGTACGTAGTAAATAATGAAAGCATCAACAACGCTAAGAGTAACTGTAAAAACAAAGGTAAATGTCAATACACAGTAATAACATCGACTTTCGTTAATTCTTCAACGTTATTCCTTAAAATGTACGTCACGAAACAAACGTTTGTTACATATCTACTACTTTCTTTATTATATCATAGGAAAGTAACATCTACGGAATAATTTCTGATACCGTCGAACAGAAGATTCGCGACATGTTCTAATGGTTTCCGATGAATTACTCTTCATTGGCCTGGTTTAATTCGACTGCATCTCGCAGTGTACATTCGAAAATCGGATTTGCATCGCGATTTCATGGACCCGGTGCACGCGATAGAGATTATCAAACGGAACTGACCTGGTATGGGTGTCAGATAGATGATGGTGGCAACGACGGAACTCAGACCGACGAAAACCGCGAATCTGAAGAACATTTCTGAGAATGATTCGAGGACGAACGATTCAGCAAGTTGAGTGTTCGCCGTGTGCAGCAGGAACGAAACGATCGGGTGCCCGAAGTGGCCGGTTTCGTAGTCGCGGATACACTAGCACGATACCAGCAAGTTCATTGCCAGGGAGAGAGTTGTTTCCCGATTAAAAAGAAAGATCTTTCAACTCCGGAAACGCTCGAGCTCCTTCTACTCGCGGCTCACACCGATTCTGCGTGCACGCGTATTTTGTTTCGCAAGAAAACTGTTATTGCTAGAATGTCTGGCTGACAGTCGGGTTTTGCGTAGTAAAAACATAGCTACCCGCAGCAGATTGCTAGGGCAATTAGCTTGCATAGGAAATTATTATTTTGTATATTACGAATTGATTATATAATTGGAAACTAGCCTGAGATTCAAAATGTATGAGTAAAAAACCATTGGTAACATAATAAATTGCTTCACGGTTGGAATCGAGTTTTATTTTTACCGATTTTTATCAAGTAAACCGTGCAACGTGAATCTATGTATTGTTGAACACTTATTGAACAAAATTAGTGTATTGTTCAATATTTTGTGATTGATTGTTTTAATTTATTAAGTATTGTGTTGTATGCGATGTTGTATCATGATACTACAAATACTGGAATATTTAAGTATTCAATAACGTTGAGATGTTATATAATATGTTAAAGGTAAGCTAGACGTTAATGGTGCTAAATCTTAATTTATTATTCGATATGAAAATGAATCTGGTCTCACGTTAAATGAGAATAAAATCATCTGAATATGTTAAGAAATATAAAATAATTAAGGAATAATAGTTTACTTCATCGAATAAATAGAGATTAAATTATTTGAAAAGTAACCCTATTCAAATTTAATAATTTTAATGATCACTTTAAAGTAATATTTTAAGTAATAATTTAAATCTACAAACAACCGAAAAAAGGAAAAATAAATAAACGTGTCCATATTTTATATTTTTCTGAAATGTTTATAAATGCTGCAGCCTATGAATAAACATGACATATTAAAAACGAGGTAATAAAAATAATTTGAAACCACATGTAATAATGTGGAATAAAAAAATTTAAAAATGATATGATGGTGCTACAATCGCTTATTAAAACGAGGTTACGTTTATCTAGTTCACATTAGTTTTTCGGATCTTAAAATACGTAAAGAAAAATTATGAAGGATATAATAGATAAAAATTTTGAAGAATCCTATCCAGATGTACATAGTGCAATAAAAGAAGCATCCTTTGTAGCAATTGATACAGAATTTACTGGAATACAATCGAATGATGGACAGAAGTATAGGTTAGCTTGATTCAATATTTGTCAAATAATTTATATATCAATCACATGTTTACATTTATTTCAGTTTTATTGATTCGTTGGATAAACGATACGAATCATTAAAGAAAAACATTGAACCGTACATAATAATTCAATGTGGTATTGCTGCATTTAAAAAGGTTCCTGAGAATAGTTACACTGTAAAGTGCTATAATTTCTATTTGTTACCAAGATCTGTACCATATAAAAATAGGCAATTTTTGTGTCAAGTATCTGCTATGGAGTTCCTCTCTCTACATAATTTTGATTTTAACCGAGTATGTCATCAAGATGTTAAAATAATTTAAATGTATTCTTTTCGGGATGAAAGTAATGGTATAAATGCAATTGTGATTATTTTAGTGTTTATCTGAAGGTGTATCATATATAAATCAAAGTGAGGAAGAACAATTGAAAGTGCATATAGATAAAGGTGATTTAGATAATAATTTAAAACATTTATCTTACGGAGAAGAAGATGATTTTAAGTATTGTAAAAATAAAGTCGAAGAGTTTCTGAAACAAACAGATAAAATCTCTTTTACATTACAAACTCCTTCACCTATTTTACAATATATGATGCATAAAGAGTTAAGGAACAATTTCAAAAACATTTGGACAATACCAGGTTACAAATCGGTATGTAAATAACTGACCAATAGAACTCTAAATTTTTTAATATGTACCAGATTTTATATTTCTTTCAGATAACAGTTGTACGAGTATCAAATGACATGCGTAACATGTTTGAGCAAGATAATATATGTTTGGAACAAGAACTGTTAGATACTTATATAGGATTTTCTAAAATATTTAAACTTTTAGTTACATTAAAGAAGCCAATAGTAGGACATAATATGCTTTTGGACTTAATGTTCATGCACCAACAGTTCTATAACCCACTACCACGTGAGTATCGTTTATTCTACTAAAAAATGTAGTGGGTATAAATAATTTCTTAGTTAATGCCAATAACTTAGTAGTCATAATAATATCACCAATAACTTAGTAGTCATAATAATATCACCAATAACTAATTTGGAAGACATAAACAAGATCAAACATATTTTCATTTAAACAATCTAAGTTTAATTAATATTCAATTGGTATTATTATATACAGCCACCTAACCATTTAACTAAATACTTAATAATAAAATGTTATAACATTGAAGGTGTGTATAACAATTAATAAACTTTAGAAGTGTTAATTAAGTTTAATTATATTTATTTCAGAGAAATATAAAGAATTCAAAAATAATATACATTCAATATTTCCACAAGTGTACGATACAAAATTTTTGAGCTATCAACTGAAAAAAATCAATAAAAAGGGTAAAGAAAGCAACAGTAAAACTTAACAATAAAAACATATAAATATAATTAATGTGAAATGTCTGACAGTTGTTTTTTTCAGTTAGTTGGAAAACAAATTCACTAAGTGGTACATATAACTATTTCAAGTCAAATGAAGGAAAATATTTAACATACAATGCGCCTAATGTTCTTATGCATCCTTCAAATGAGTCAAATACGGGTAATAATTTTTAAATTTGATTGTAATAATAAATATTACTTCAAATACATTTGAAAGTAATAAGATGATTTTATTTTTAGACGTAGAAGCTTATCACACTGCAGGATGGGATGCCTATGTTGCAGGATATATTTTTGTAAAAATAGGACATATATTAGCTGTAGAAAAATATGGACAGTATGTTTATTTTAATAAAAAATCTAACTGTTATTGACTGTTGTTTTTAATTTTCTAAACTTTAGGGGCTTGCAAAATCGAACAATATCATCTGCTGAATTAATGGGAAGCGTAAAAACGTTAGAAAATTGTATAAATGTAGCAGCGAACACTGAAATGTATTTGGTAAGAAAAACTTAATTATCAGAGTTAATGGAATATATGAATTAATTTAATTTAATATAGGTAATAGAATATATTACCAAATAGTGATAATTTGTTTCAGAAACTTGATGGATATGACCCACCATTGATAAAACCACAATGGCTGCATGTGAAATCAAATTCATCATCCATAGATATGAGAGAGGTATGCTGGAGCATGAATTTGTATACTTTAATATGTTATATATATATATATATACACATTGGAGCTAGTAATTTTAACCTTTCTTTTCAATTTGAAATCTTATTATTAGATTAGTGAGAAGTTTTCATCTTTTGGACCCATAAATGTATTGCCTTTTACTCGGAAACGTGTTCTGGTACAAGTTTCAAGCCGTCAAAGGTTAGTATATTTTTTAATATTATATCAGATTTGTATCACAATTGCAAACTTGGAACTTGTTGCATATTAATTAATAAAATGTCAAAACTTTATATACCTATATAAACATATTAAATTAAGGTTTAATAGAATATCTTGTACGATTATTATTTCACGGAATGAAGAAATTTTTAATCAGAAGAATCTATGAACCACAAATAATAATGCATATGTAAGTGCTTCGACGCAGATAACTTGTACGGAGCGAAACAAATTTAAACGCGGTTGTCGTCGAGCACAAATAACCCCAGTGCAGCCTGTCGTACTGACATGAAACATGCTCAGAGGGAACTCATATTTTACAGTATGCATGGCACAGTATCCGGGTTAAGAAAACAATAGAAAGATTAAAGGGAGATATTGAGTGCCATGAATCTTGCGTATGATTCGTGACATATTGAGATTTCCGATGGTTGTCGAATGGGTGTGCTTACGGGGAGGATAGACACATTGTTAATAATCGTTTTATTTACGCGTTATACCTCACTTCACGCACCAGGCAAATATAATTAGGTATTAAGTACGCAGTTGGTATTTTAGTATGAAGCTGCTATGAAGTAAGGTGGCAGAACTATTTTGGATCATATCCAAGGGCAACCGCGTATACTCACCGTTGCACTTACAAAGTGTAATATCAGTGCATGTGATTTCATACGACGTAACTATACGTGCGTTTTGCCAAAATTTTCATCAGTCTGTTTCACCCTAATTATTCGCGAGATATTGTTCACGAAAATTCTCGAATGGATACATCAACTCGTGCGTTTAATGCGACGAATGGAAATTTATTCATTTCGAAGTTTAGAATATGCACTCATAAAATGAAAAAAGAACGCGTCTATCTTTTTGTAAAGTGCCATTTACATGATACGATAGTAGTCTGGGAAATAGATATAATATAATCACACCAGTTGTCAGTGGTGCATCAGCGGGGAAGCTATAAATATCAATAGGAAAGGTGAATGAACCAAAAATGTTCAAACACTCTACTGAGCATTAAAATTTCGTGAAATTTTAAATGATTTTATACACTGTTAGATGTAATTATTAGCTCATTCGATGTGTTTGTCTTTTATTTGTACTTAAGACTCATTCGTTCATTTTTGGTATAGATATATTGAAATACGCGACAAATGATATCCTGAAATTATTTCTTGCAATCGGTGTAATTAATGAACCGTTGAGATTATTTGAAGAATGCTGTTTCACTTTTGACTTCGATAAATCAGGTCCACCGGCAAAATTTCTAAAGAAATTATAAAAGATACCCTTTTCCTGATGAAACTTTGATGGTAAAATCATCATACGTATCCACAATAATCCTCACACGATCGAATGAACAATCGATCGCGTTTTCTGAATTCACATTGCACAGAATCACAACCCACCGTCAGTTAAATATCGGATTGAAGCGAATCCATTAAAACAGGTTTACTTTCCATCCCGATCCGTCGAAACAACGAGAACTTACATAAGAAGTCTCATTGTATGATACATTTTAACCAAATTTCAACGGTCAAAAATCCAATTTCTATTCCTTCTTCACTCCAATCCATTCGAAATCATTTGTTACGTTCAACGATCTACTTGAAACACTCACAATCTACTTTAAAATAATCACATTCCAACATGGATATTCCGTAATAATTTTTCCGTTTTCTATCGCCAGATCATTACGTAATTAACGATTCATATGTAATCCCTACAAAAATGGTAACAATAGATTATTTTCAGTTTCCTCAGACATTCATTGTAATATTCAAGTTTACACGTTATTTCCAAAATCATTCCGAACATTCAATGCTTCTAAGATATCGATAACTCCGAAACAAAATCGAAACTAGTCAATTACTGAAACGGTAGTTCCAGTTAACCAGTTAACTGTGTTTGACGAGTACACGCGTCATCGTAAAGCTTGACACGATACCAGTTCTTTCAGCGACGAATTCTTTATTTTTTCACATAAACATGTAATTTTTCTTTGTTCCGTTTTGATCTTTTATTAAAATATACTCTACACGCATTCGTCCTGCGTTCGACGAGTACGCGCTCCATTTTATCTTATTGCGCGCAGAACGAGAGGTTTCTCCAACTAAATTCCACAGTTAACTGGTTAAATACAAATAAGAATCAAAACAAGAGTGTATAGTCAGATGCACAAAGTCGACATGTACCGAGTAAATGTTCGACCTCGATTTTCTCGAAAACGAAGACTCGCAGGAAACAATTTTATTCTATTTCTTCGACTCATTTTTACATGTAGCATGAACTAATTGATTGACCATGAGTCGCGGGACACCCTGTATAGTTGAAACATTCTCGGGTCGTTTTTGGAACTTATATAAAGGATCGAAGAACTTCCTCTCATTAGTTTTGTTATACTTTCTTTAGAAATATACTTAGTCATCATTCAACACGTTGAATAGGAGTCAGTGAGCTCAAACCAAATCGAATTACCGTAGTTCACTGGATTAATTATTTGGATATTTCTATATTACTAATAATGCTAATATCACAGTTTTTCTATTTTGCGTTGTTTCGCCACAGTTAACTGGTTAATCACAATTTCTCATGATCTGTATCACACAATTTCGATTTCAGTTGCACCCACGTTTATCTGGCAAATTCCTCGCCGAGAATATTCGACAGCAACGTACCCCGCAGAACAATTGATAATAATTGCAAAATAACAGGCGTTCAATTCATTTCGTTCCTTTCTTAAGAACCAACGGACGTGCATTGTAAGTCAGGTCAGGTATACAGCGGTCCGAAGCCACAGTGTCTTCTGTTAGAGGCACAAAGGGTAGTATTCAGTCCGTGAGGCTCGTCACGCGGACCGGGGGTACAAAAGTCAGCTGACTTCATCATTCCCGAATTAGATCAAAATGAATTATCCGGTGCCCCGCTATCAAGTATGCATTTTCACGAGCGTGATGCATTCTCTTTTACGTTCACCATCCTATACAATTCACTCGCGGCCTACCGACGTTCATATATTAGAAGTATCAGATTTTCTTCGCCACTGGCATTGTTCCAAAGCCTGTATCGTTTCTAACCGACGCACTTTTGTTTAGCGCCGCTGTCGATCCGAATTATTCAAATCGCATTAACCGACTGTACGCATCGGAACTTCGTAAAGGCCGCTCCGATCGTTAACACTGGGCTTACCGGCATTTCTTCTACAGCTTACTCTATTGTTCCTGGAAGAATTCACGTTAACACATCGCGTGCCGGCTACTTTTCGGAAAACTGAATTGTGCGGATGGAAATTTTCAGTGAGATCAACTTATATCGCTGCACAAAAAACTCAGATATATTGTTGTGTAATGTATTTTAAATGGATAATCAATTTGAATCAAATTTAATATTTTCCCAAGTACTATGGCAATTAGCGAAATTGCACGGCTAAGTGTCTTTATATGAAAACAGGATTACTCGTTGCCAGTACGCAATGTTAACCCGTCGACCTACAATATCGTGTCAGACTGCGACGAACATTTTAATCTGAATTCGAAGTTTAAATTGAATATTTTGTGTTGTCAGTCGTTACCATTTTTTTCTTTTCTTACCAGATTATTAACGATGAAGTAGAAGTGTTTCGTTAGGAATATTTTAACATTTTCTAGTGAGATGAAGACGATACTTCGTGGAACTGTCTCGGAGAGAAATCACACAATACTATTTTATTTCAATATTTCTCAGATCAAATATTTTAACGAATCAAAGAAACTACCCTAAAATTATTAGATTCTCCACACATCCGAATTTTGTACCGAGAAGGAAAATAACAGATCGAAGGAATGTTACAGCATTTTTCGTTTTCACTGGAGATACCATAAAAATTAGTTGCAGTTGCTGATTAATTACAAAACCATCGGGAGTGCTAAGGGTTAAGGAATAATTGATATGTTTACGAAATGATATTTTAAAAATCAGTACGCGTCGAATTGACTGGTTTCGGGAAGCTCGTTTAAGAGGAGACATTCTTAAGGGGAAGAGAAATAACTGAATAAGGGGGAGCGGAGACTGTTTGCGGTCGTTTATTGGTTTTATTAATTATCCAGTCCTTCGTTCTACGCTTTAAACAGAACGACAAGCCGGCGCGTTGTTTAACATAATCGATACGAAATTATTTTTATCCGGATGTTATAATTGTTGTCGCTTTAAAAATCTTGTTACAGGGCGCTCGACTTGATAAACCATTTTCAGAAGAGCAAGGAATTCCAGGTTACGAAGTACACCCCTATATGGCACGCTCATCCGACTAGTATAGCCTTGTGGTACGTAAAACGAAAGATTTTAGGGTAATAATGTTTTGTTCGCTGAATTTCTTGCAAACTTGCAAACAAGTGCATTCGAATAATGTATTAAAGATTTCTAATCGGCTAACTGGGTACAGAAAATAATTGGCAAAGATAGGTACGTCGATTCCTGTCAAAGTTTTATGTCAACAGAATTCTCGATTCTTATTGTAAAAACGACAGTAAACGAGAATGATTTGAATTCGTGGATTTTAAAAAAGTGCCATTTCTGATATTCTCGAGATTCTACTCGTATCGAATGTCAAGCCTTCTGCTAATCTGACGCGAACAAATTAAGTGACACATTCATTAGCACGCGCTAACCTATGGCATCAATCACGGAAAATGAAATACCTTTTAATTTAAAGACACACAATAGCCGCAGGTGTCGGATGCCAACAAACAAACACTGACGAGACCTGCCAAACGTGATAATAAACAATATCGTACAGTAACGCCACTTTCTAATTTGAATTTCCAATTTTAACTTCACTCTCACGCTTCTCTGTTAAGTTGAAATACCGCTGAGCATCCTCTAAAATGATTTTTCTACTCATACATATTGACCTGCACCTTTAAACGCGATCATTAAGTAAAACTAAAAACAGAATTTCACCCGAAAGTCCCGAATGCATCCAAATACATCAACTCTGTGATCAACGTACGCCATCACGTTGATCTCGCGAAGTCACCAGAGAGTCGAGTTTCATTTTCTAAGAGGATTAATTGAATTTTTAAGAAAATTGAATGAAGACTATTGGCTACGCCTTCGAGGACATCCATAGCCCAAGGTACTGGTCCAAATTCCGAGGGGACAGTTGAAATAAAGATCCTTCGTCACTCCCGATATTGTACATGAAAAGAAGATTTGTGGTTGTTCGTATAACGCGGTGACCAAATATTGTACAAGTATTACCGTTACATAATAAGTGTTTCAGCACTCGAGCAGCGTATTTCACAGGGAAGCCTAGCCGTGTTCCTACAGCGAGGCGGCTGCATATGATGCTCTCGGTGCATTAGGATCGGGCCGCGCTAAGAAGAATAGCGTTCTCGAAGTTTACGGTGCTTCTTAAACTTTTACGAGCATTTGAAACTGTTTTATTTTTCGGAAATACAATCTCAGTGTTGTCGGTAACACCCGTAGAACGCGCGTTAAAACGCATCTCGCGCGTAAATATAAAGTTGTCGGTGTAAGTGATTTAACGGCAGGCGACATTTACCGCCGCATAATTTACCGCATTATCACACGGTCCTAAAATTACATGGGCCGTGCCTCGCGTTCGGCGGTAATAATAATAACAATAATTGTTCCACGGTGGAAAGTGAGCGAAATCCGCCGGCCAAGCCCCGAGGTCGGAATATTTTACGATTGGAGCCACCGACGTTTTCCCTGACGGCCGGTCCCGTCTTTGTGGGCCATTTTCAGAGGCCACGCGATATCCACTAATTCGGTAACATTTTCGCCCGGTGTGACGTAATCGGAATTTTAAACGGGCCGGCCCGATAGGCGAGATTCGATTCAATCGGTGTTGGTGAACGAGGCTATTCGCGTTGTGTCAAGCGAATTAATGGCCGTTCTCAGCGGGCCGAACGGCTAGCTGCGCCTGCGAAATCTCTAATTAGCACTAAGATTGCCGTAGATGCATAAGTGGAGACCACGATGCCAATTGTTGCGAAGGCAGCGCGCATCGTGGCACCCATCGCGTTACCCAACACTAAGGTAAATCGTTGAAAATGCTCCGATTTCGATTGCTCCTCTTCGACGTTACGCCGAAACCTTTGCGACACCCTTATTACGCAATCGTCCCCGTCGCTGTGTTCCGTTCCGAAGGTAGGAAAGTCGTATTCCTCTTCATCGAGCCGATCGTTAAACGTGACAAACGTTTGAATGAAGATCGAGAGGTAAACTGGAACAAACGACGTTGAACGCAGTTTTTTCGAATGTTATTTATGGAAAGCTGCTTTTGATCGTTCATTTCGGATCAAGTAATGACGAGCGATAGGCGGTAGATGCATTTCGTGTATTGTCTTAATTTAAGAAGTGTTTCAGCCAGAATTTTTCGATCAGTTTTCCCGATATAAAAATATTAACCATAAGAGTTTCAATGGTTTCCGACGAATGGTACTAAAACAGATGAAATTTCTAAGCTAATTCCAAAGATATCTACACTAGAGTTACACAAAGAAAAAATTGCACATGATCGCACCGATCATTACCTTCGCCAAGTTCTTTCAAACGAAAATTAACAACCTTCGCCGTTACCTACACACGAAGAACAAAGTGTGCACAGTTGTATGCACAGTATGAAAACGATTCTTTTCGATTACAGGACCAGTATGCTGTTATCCGGCACCATGGTCGCCTGGATAGTCCACCGGATGTTCAAGAAGTCACACTGAAGTGATCTCGACTTACTTCGACATTAGTACAATAGTCGAGAATCGTGACTCCACATCTGTGATGCGTGCTGCAGATATAATAGAACTGCTCTTTTTACACTGTCAAATGAATTGTAAGCAGTAGTTTTCTACACGAGTGTCCTTAAAAAAAAAGAGAGAAGACGGTTGATCCAGTGAGGACGCGAAACAAAGTTGACAACAAAGAGAAACAAAGTCTGATTCCGTTTCCGGACCACCGTTGTATTTTCTCCCGACACCGTTCCTTTATGAATGCCGGGCCGCGCGATCTATTTAAATTTTAGATCGAGAAATCATGAGTGGAATCTTTGCGTGAGCTGTTATTATTATTTCACGTTCGAGCCGAACGCGCTCGGTGTCGGGCCAGCGCTCGTTTCGCCAAGGAAGTGTTCCCCGCTGCCAAGCCTGTACTCTTTGAAAAATACAATTATCCCTGCCGCCGGGAGACGCGTCGATCGCCACGCACGTCCATCTATCATACCTTTTTTACTACATCTAGTGCCTTTCGTCGGCCGCGTCACGCCCCGTTCGTGCCAAATAACACAAGACGTCCGTGACGTCATAATTCGACGAGAATTCTTCGGAGACTTTCTTGTCGCGGTCCGCTATCGCTGACAGAAGGTGTTCAGTCAAAATCGTTTGCGCGGAGAGAATTACTTGTGCATGTATATAAAAGAAAACTGAAAAATCGACGATATTTATAGAAGCCATTAATGAAACAATAAATCCTCCCGTCCTTTTATCGTGTCGTAAAATAGCGTGCTATATGTACACGTCTGCCGAAGTGCAGAAAATTGTTGAACGAAATGACGACATCCTCTAGGTTTAATAAAGAATAGCTGTAGAAGTTATCGGAGAGGTTTCTCCGAGAGACATGTTTATTTTTATATCGTTGCTTGTTTATTTATTATTAGTAATTTCAATTGAGAAATATTAACATCGTGTTACCAACTGGATATCCATTTTTAAATTTTCTTTTACGCAACTTATTGTGTTCGTACAAGAGACTGTGGAAATAGAATATTTGCGCAGAAATATTGAAGTTCGAATAAACGCAGCCAGATCGACTGATAGTACGAAGGTTAAACGCTCTTTCGAAATCATTTTATCGATTCGGCTGCATCGCTCCGCGTTCGGTGGATTCTGGAGCAATCGTTGTTTCCGTTCTACAGGAATAACCGATTTGGCTATCCGACTCTCGAAATTCACAACACGAACGTCGCGGAAAATGAGAACGTGCAGGCAGCACGTGACAAAATATATCATAACTCGGTTGTAATCTTGGCTGACAGTCAGTCCGGAGATCATCGGTATCTCGGGGAGGCAACGTTAATTCAATTGCTGACGAATTACGACGGACACGCTCGGAAATCAATGAGATAAAGGGTGAGTACCGAATCGAAATTCTACGATCTACGTGTCAACGACGAAGTCACGGTAGGCATGAACAATCACGGTCAGCTTAAATAGAAACGTGCTTAATTAGACATCGCAACGTTCTAACCTTAAGAATTTATCTTTGAAACTTCTCAAAGTTCCTCGATCTTCTATTGCAAGGGATGATAGCGTAATCTCAAAAACCATTATTCATTCTCATTCTACTTACACGAAAGAGACTGTGTTTCACATTCGAATCTTCCACTGTCAAACGTTACTTAAAGATATATATAATACCAACCGAAAATCCTAGACAAGAATTGCCAATCTCGAGTGCATTGGCTCTCCAGTGAAAAAATGGTACTAAATCATTGATAATAATAAGAATCATAATAATAAGACGTTACATAATAACACATTATATTCTACAAACGAAGCTAAACGATTTATCAAAGCTTCTATGCGCATTTCTATGACATGTGCATACACGATGCGCCGTTATACCGTGCGCTACAACGGATATTCTCCCAGACTCGTTTCTATCGTCGGATTCCAACTAACCGACCTAACATTTCGCAGAAGTCTCGACGTTCGCGGCGCAAACTTGTTGCATCTACTCCTCGCGAACACTTGGTGGTGCTCTGTACTTATCTTGAAGCCCTGATGGCCGAGAAAGAGAGCCCAAGCGTTCCCCGATATTTCAAAAGTTTTCTCTGGCCGCCACCCAAGGCTAAAACACTCGAAATAACGCAGTAGCAATTTGTGTGGGCGGTCTGCCGGACGGTCAGCCTGGTCACACTGGTGTCCGGTGGCAGGTGGAGCAGCTTTTGAGGTGGATCCCTCTCTATCTCGGCTAGTCAAACCAACAGATGTAAAGGTCGCGCGCGTCGAGAATGAGGTCTATGGAACTGGGTTAACCAAATTCACTATTTTCTTGTTTCCCACTTGCCGGTCCGCACAGTGACACTCCCTAAGCTCGACAATTCCTTCGAACTTCTGCCAGTCATCGAACAATTACGCGACGCGCGTCTATGGGAATATTTCTCGCGTACGGATGCGTCGACTGGAAATGGAATCGGTTTCAGGTTCGTCGGTTTTAGGCTGAACACATGATTGTCTTGCGGAGAGAGGGATAAGACAATTTGATGACTGTTTTTGTAAACGGATCACTGCTGCGACGTTTTCCTGCGAATCTTATAATATGTACTTGTTTCTGTATTTATATGTGTCACATGGTAGTAGGATGTAGACGTTTTTGGAGAATCGATTTAGGAGAGAAATTTCTGGAGAGTATTGAAATGGAAATCGGTTCTCTTTGTTAACGATTTGCTTCGGCTGAGAGTAAAGGGAAAGTGGTTTTGAGAGTATCATGGTTTACATTGAATTGTACGATTTGTATTCGTGTATTTTCTAAGTGGATTAAATCCGTGGTGAAATCTGGTGAGTATAAGTTGGAATCGAGGGTGGAAGGAAGTTCCTTGGGAATTGATCCAATAGAGGTATGGCTATCGCGGATCGTTTGGAATTCAGATTGGTTTAGAACGGAGCATGTAACGCAGAATTAATATTTTCAGGAGTGAACACTGTTTTAATATTTTACATACGAACGAATTAGTTAATGGATTTGTTATGTAGTTTTTGAGAATTTCATTTTTAAATGAATATCGAGGGGTTTCACCAGTAATCCTGCTTTCAAAAGTTTAAATAGAAGAAATTATTTGTTTATAGTTTAAGGGATAATATATCACAAATTCATGGGGAATCTCGTATACACTCATATAATTTGCATTTGAATTTATTTATAAGAGCAGAGATACATCTTAGAACATAGGTGTTATAAATATGATTTTCAACGACAGTTTTGGTAAATGTTTCTCAAATTGTTGATTAAACAACACTACTTTAAAAACTACGGTAAGTCTATATGCAAATTCATATTTTTAGCAATTATTTAACTCAAATAAACACTATCAATCTTCCCTTCATAATTCGTTTTCCATAAAATTCATAACCTGATAACGTTACATAATTAAGAAAACTCTATTAAGAGCAACGGTAACGTTAAAAGCTTGAAAGCGCAAAAAGGGAAGTTGTATTTTTCGAAGTCTTCCAGTTTTCGATTTTCTATTTTAAGCATAAAAATGCAGGCGAACACGTTTAGCTGAGGCAGTTACCTATAAAATAATTAGACAGATAATGTAACTGGCAGGTCGGTTTTAACCATGTATCCTCATAAATGAAATTTTATGATTGTTCTTGGCAACGCACTGAACGAAAACTATTTCTTATGTGTACTCATTGGGAGCGCACCATAGGAAACCATACATCAGGGCAACAGTGCGTAAGGCGGTTAGAAAATTCGGTTTCGCTAATACAAATAAGCGAAGAGTCTATAAATTTCATATGGTGTTTTCATGGAAGTGGTTGATTATATACGTTGTATTAATTTCCCGAACCATATGGGTTTCTTTAAGAGAACCCAAGCAACCCGTTAACGACACGAAAGACACGCGGAACGTTCGGATTTAAAAAACATCCTCGATCCGGAATTATTAATAACAACAAAAAGCTTCGTTAATAAAGGATTCAGAAGTTGAGCCAATATCGCTTTCGTTCACTGTTGCGTTGCCACTTATTTTAAGAGCAGCCTATGTCCACATTGTAACCTGTACAAATACGTTTCGTATATTTCATTTATCATACAAATTTCAAGCAACAAACAGAAACTGAAAATGGAACGGTCAGAAAATATTCAAATCATTTCGTGTTCCACGCGTAAATTAGAAACAAAGATTCCAAATTTACGTTGT